GTGTATAGATAATGGATGGATAGTTAATACAGGGTCCATTAAAAAGCCAGGCAGTGTGATTTGTAACAATATGTTCTGCCAGATGGGGTTGACCCTCATAAAGACAAAGTGTAAGCGAAGATCTTGTAATGGCTTAAACAAGCAGAAGGTTACTAAGCCTCACTAAAATTCCCAACAGTTGTTTTGTGACACACTTCCAAAAAATGTAAAATCATCTGAAAAGTTTCTTGGCAAATTTTAATGAAGCAATCCAGCATTAGCACCTTCTGTCAAAGAACGATGGTGTGAGGCTGTAATTAAGAGTAATGTTTCACTCTGCGGGCTGAAGTGGCGAAACTGGCAAAATACAAGCCCTGTGTTTACTGTTGAGCTGTTTCCCTGGAACTCTGTTTTGGGTTTGGAGTGTGCAGGCATGTGCATTAATGTGTGACAGACCTGCCCTCGTGCTGTATGTTGCTGGACAAGAAAAAACAAACAGATTTTTTGTCTCGTGCACAGATCATCAACTGACCTGTTTGCGCTGCTCAGAGGCAGTAAACAAGCTTCCTGGCAGTGTCCTTGGCCTCATTAGTAAAGCGGCTGTCACCCTTGCCAATTAATCTAAACCGATGTACTTGTAGAGAACCACAGCTTTCTGTAAAGCACCATTTACCAAACCATTACGCGGAGTGTAAAAGTGTTAATGAGATGAGTTTTTATCCAAATGTGTTCACAAGACAGAATGAGCATAATAATAATCAGATTTATATGGGTATTTCATGAGAACATGAACCCTTCCATGTCTGACAGCTTGACATCCAGTATTCAAATAAAGAGGTTAGATTTCAAAATTCTAAATAGACTTATCGCAGCATGTGGTTCACCTCAAGTTCATCATTCTGTTTCCAAAATGTACATTTGCATAAATATTATCATCTCTGCAAGTTTCTTATATAACCATTGTCTTACAGTAAACACACACACACACACTGTTAAAGCCAAACTTTCTTTACTCAGATCACTGTTTACTGGAATACACACCATCCACCCCTGAGCTGCCTGTGCCGGTGAAGGTGTCAAACAGCAACACAACAGCCGAACACGCACTCAGACACGACGACAACCGCGAGCACGCTTTGCACCCAACGAACACATTCGTTCAAAGCGCACACACTCGGCCAAAGAGAGAAGTGCACATATGCAAATGCAGTGAAAAAGCAGAAGGAGCTCACTGTGGTTTCAGATCGATGATGTTTGTATTTAACAAAGCTTAAAATTAGAGCGAGAGAGAGGGTGAGGGGTGCAGAAAAAGAGTGACAGAAGAGATTACGGTGAAAGAGTGAGACAGAAAGGAATAGAAGAGCTCGGTAAGTCGACAGAGACACACAGAAGTTACATAAGTGAGGTAATTGTGCTTATAAGTGTGGGTTTGCCACATAACTTACCTTTAGCTCAACATACCTGTGTATATATGTGTGTGTGTGTGGGGGGGCTACCTAATACAGCAGGACTTACTCCTTCCACACACACTGGCTGGTATAGGCCACAAAAAGTGTGTGGGAGTAAGTAGACAAAATGTGTTTATGTGCGCGTAAAGGGTTATAGCTTCAAATTGTTGCACTTGTGCTAATGGCTGACCATGTGCGGATGTGAGAATGATAACAGATAATACAGAGATGAGACATTGTTTGCGACACGAAAAGAAAATTCAAAGAACTGACACCAGACAAGCGATCAGAAACTCAGCGCAGTGGAACGGTGTAGGTAATGTGTGAGCGCGTGCATTTAGTGCGTCAGAGTGTGTTCTGTAGTCGGTACATGATGAAGGAAACAACAGGTTTATATAACAACTCCCTCCCTTTGTGGACGAAGATGAGAAGAAAGGACCATGAGAGGAACGATGCTCATAGACAGACAGATAGAGGCGGAAGATGGAGCACAGAGAGACAAAATGAGGGGGATAGTGAAAATACAGAGAGAGAAAATAGGAACATAAAGAATATCTTTTGGAATATAGGATGCATTAGAGATAAACAAGGGTATTTTTTAAATAAACAGCTAGAATTGTAAGAGAAACCGGTTTTAGAGACACACAAGGAAGAGACAAACCTGCCTTTTTCTGCATTCATCAGATTCAGGTTTATTAAATGAATTAATTTTTCTCATCAGCTGTTGTAAATACTTCTCAACAAACCTCCAGAAAACAGGCCTACAGTTGGTGCATAGACATGTTAGCTCATTAAACTCAGGTCGCTGCTCTGGTTAACTGCTATGAGACCCATCATTAATGCTATTAGTTCCCAAACTTTTCAGCTTCCGACCCCCAAAATAATGTTGCCAGAGATTCACAAACCCCACTATCATCCCTGGAGGTGCTTGGAGCATACAAATTAATTTGTTGCTGTCGAGTGCAATCTTACATTCTAGGATTTTGTACTGTCATTTCACATTCAACTCATCAAATCAGATGGATGGGCACGATCCGTGGAGCACCTTGGAGTCTGATTTAGGAAAAAAAAAAAAAGACAACAGCCTCCATATATGATTGCACTCTAGTGTTGTAGCCAGACCATTCTGGCTGCACCTTACTACTACTCTGCTGTGGTTAAGAAAACAATTTAGTAGTGAATCAAACCAGTTACAATTCTATTTAGTGGAGCTTAGCCCAGGACACAGCAGTGGTGTCCCCGCAAAATAGTTACAGAGGTACTGTTTTGGTGGAACCTTTGTGCACTGCCATGAAAATGGATCATCTCCTTAAAACAACAACAACAACAAAAGTTTTGTTTTGTGTTTTTCTAAATGAAAATTTAAATCCCCAGCAAAGCATGGCATATGGAGAGAGGTAGGGTACCAGCCTGAGGTTCTTGTTTTTCCCCAGTTTCCACAAAATAACACTGCTGTACAACTAAACTGCATTTATTTTGCAATTACTTTTTGCAAGAATGTATTTTCTTTCAGATTACATTTGTAATGAATCAAAATTCTATTTTCCAATCAATGTATCTTTGATTTATTTGATTATTATTTGTTTATTTTATTGCTCTACTATCCTTTTCAGCCAACTAATGATAGTGGGCGGGACCCGTCACCCTGGTAACCCAAAACATGGAGGAAAAGCTTTAAATATGTCATGATTTATCCCAAACCATGACGTTTTTTCCTAATGGTAACCAAGTAATCATGGTGCCTAACAGTGACGTGTGGTGAGGTTCATGGCTGGTGAGGCACTGACTTCATCAGAATCAGACTTACAAATATATGCACTCTACACAGGAGCATATTTGCCATTTGATTGGCAGGAGTTTATGAGTTATGTTTCATATCTGCATTCTCTACACATACGAGCTGTAGCCTACAAAACGCATGATTCTTTTCTTTTTTTTTTTAAGTTATTGCGGTCTTACCTTTGCCTTTAAATGAAGTCCATGCTCTGCTCCTTCTGGACAAATATATCCGTTACTTTTTTGTAAAAGTCTCCTTGTCTTCCTTCGCTGCACTTGACCTGCTAACTGTATATCATACCTAGTCTAGCTTGCTGTCACTTACTCTGTAGCCACGGAGTCACAAGAAGCATGTCTGGGATCAGAGCGCCCCCTGCCATGAGGCAAGAGAACTGCCTGCCTCACCTGGAACCTCTTCTCAGCCGTTTATGATCGCTCAGAGCACGGAACACGTTACACACATACAGTTGGTAACAAAAAACACTGTACATTATGATATACATCAGCTGAACTATGGACAATCAGTTCATATATTAAATGTGTTTGAAACATGTTATTGGCGACATCCAGACAGCAGCACGCTGTCACTGCAGGCAGCCAGCAGAGGTAGTGAGGGATTGTGCAATCCAAGGTGAGGCTCAACTTGCTGCTGTCTCACTGACTTCTCTTCCAAGCATTTGAATGGGTAATTGCAAAAATTCAGTGATTTTGAATTTAAAAATCATCAAACTTGATGAGGCTAAATGAAAAAATAAATACTTTATAGTACAAATCACTGGATAAATATAACCATTTAAATTATTTTATCATATATTTTTTTTCTTTCCGTGATGTCAAGTGAGGCTCTACCTCACCTGCCTCCCCTGACCACACGTCACTGGTGCCTAGCCTCCAACAAGCATCCGACATGTAAAAATGTCTATCAATGTGTGAAACTTCCTGAAACCTAACCATGTAGTTTTGGTCCCAGAAAATCACTGAAAACCAAAACTAAACAATGACAGAAAACAAAACGTAAGTCTGTGACTGATGGTCTCCAGTACAGCATGGGACGCTAATCCTCGTATTCTGAGTGAAAGTCAATCTCCAATTAACGCCTCCAACCTCCACTTCCGCCTCCTAACGATGATTTTGTGGCCCTTTAAACTGGCCACCTTTCTTAACACATCAAACTGTTCATTTCAAAGCAAAATTATGTCCCTGTCAAAATAAAATAAAATGCGGTTAAGTTGTATGGTAACATGATTTTGTGAGACAGGATTTCTTGTACTGAAGGCGAATTTGAAAATGGTAAGATGTAGGTAGCAGAAGGGGGTAGAAAGTCGTGTGAAATGTGCTGCCAAAGGCAGGCTTACATCCGCAGTCTACATCCGATGAGTCAGACTAGTCACAATCTGTATTCATTAATTCATGCTATGTTCCACCTCTGCTGGAGTAAAGGGAAGCTACATAAAAATTAACAAAGAAAGCAAGGGAAGAAAAAAAAAGAACAGGTAATCTGTGTGGTGCAAATTAATGAAAGAAAAAAATCAAAAGAGGGATGACAGCATTCCATCTTGTTAGGTGAACTGCAAAACAAAACAAAAGAAAGTAACTTAACTTCCTATGAAACTGCAATACAAAGACAGCAACACCTTCACTCCCAGTGTACCTAAAGCCAGACTCACATGACACGAGTTTTAAAATCCTAACTTGACAGATAGACAAAGGTAGATTCTTCTCTATAATCTCAGACATGCACACACTACATCACACACTACAGGATATTGTGAAGGTGCCAGAGAGGGTCATCAGGGAGTAAAAGCACCACCTCATGTGATCTCATGGGAAAGCAGATGTAAACAAAATGGAGACTGTGGTGCAACAACTTGCTGTAATGCCGTAAAATTTGCAGTGTGAAAGCAACAAAACGAGAAGACCAAACCAGTCTGGAAGAGAAAATGAGTCTGTGAGCAGTTCAGGAGGTTTGAGATTCTATCTTTGAAGCCCTGACCTTACTAAACGTAGTGGGCTGAACAGTGACAAGGAAACATGAAGACAACGAGCAACCATCAAGAGATACAGAAAAACCCACTGCTGCTCGAGCAAGTGTTTCACATAAGGATAAAAAGAGCTTAAATCACAGCAGCCGACACTGACAGGTCAGTTGCACTCGTCAACCAAGGTGTAATAATTGCTGCAGCTCGATTGGAGCATGGGACTGAACAACAGTCCAATCAGCCATTAGGAAAGAACCGAGGGCTCGAGCTCCGGGTCAGTCAACCGGGATGACAAGCAGGATGTAATGCACAGGAACCATCACAGGCCTGCTCATGCCAATTTCTATACATCAGACAGGGTCAGGAGGAGTTCACCACAAGGAGGAAGATACAAGGCCACCCAGGGCTGTAACAATTGATTTATTGATTTCTGGAAATCATTTCTCGCCCTCTCCGTTATTGTCTTGCGACCTTTACTTCGACACCACTGAGTTAGCCTACTTAGCCGCAGGCCTGCGTAGGCAACACCAGACTTTCTGCTGCTATCACAAAGTCTGTTGTTTAAAAAGGTCTTTTACAGTAAAGTGCAAAAACAGAAAGACTGAGAGTGAAAGTGACAGTTGGAACGTAGGGAAATATCCTAACGGGTGATATTATTGAAGAAATTAGAGCAGTTTGAATAATGGAGAAAGCAGAGGTGTGACAAATAAAGTTAACAAAGCTTCCTTTTAGCCTATAAATCGTTAATGTAATCAGTTACACCCGTGTTAGGAAACTTCAGCTATAGGAGGCTTTTTAATCTCTGCCTCTTCTGTGATTTACTGCTCGCTGTGATATTACCGCTAGACACTGCAACATGGTGAGTGTATGAAATGCTCAGAGGACCTCTGACATTTAGCATTTTAGATTATGCAAACATATTATTGTAAAAGTTCAGTGGCAGCAGGTTGTCTGAACGTGTCTAATAATAAGAAGAACAAGGAAAAATGTTAGCTGCAGCTCTAGTAGATTCATGATTATAGCCACGCTGTTTCTTTTAGTGGCGCAAAACTTTAGTTTATGACCAGACACCTGCAACACAGCTGACATTCCCACTAGCTTCTGCTGTATTTTGTCTCCTGGACATTTGTTAGAATGCTAGCATTTCAAACTAAAATGCATGGA